CCTTCCTTCCTTCCTTCCCACTCTGTCCTTCCTTCCTTCCCACTCTGCCCTTCCTTCCTTCCTTCCCACTCTGTCCTTCCTTCTCCTCCTTCCTTCCTTCCCACTCTGTCCTTCCTTCCTTCTTTCCTTCCCACTCTGTCCTTCCTTCCTTCTTTCCTTCCTTCTCTCCCACTCTGTCCTTCTTTCCTTTCCTTTCCTTTCCTTTCCTTTCCTTTCCTTTCCTTTCCTTTCCTTTCCTTTCCTTTCCTTTCTTCCTTTCCTTTCCTTTTCTTTCCTTTCCTTCCCTTCCCTTCCTTCCTTCCTTCTCTCCCACTCTGTCCTTCCTTCCTTCCTTCTTTCCTTGCTTCCTTCCTTCTTTCCTTCCTTCCACTCCCTCCCTCCCTCCCTCCTTCCTTCCTTCCTGTTAGAATGCAGTATTGCAGGCTAACTCTGCCCACTACCAAGAGTTCGAATCCCCCCAGGCTCAAGGTTAACTCAGCCTTCCGTCCTTCCGAGGTGGGTCAAATGAGGAGCCAGATTGTTGGGGGCAAGAGGCTGACTATGTACACCGCTTAGAGAGGGCTGTAAAAGCACCGTGTGAAGCGGTATGTAAGTTGTTTGGCTTCGAGCAGACCAGGAGATCTACCTCCAGAAAAAGAACCTGGCTAGGAGGAATTGATGGCTTGCTAAAGGTAGTCCTCGACTTACGACCATTCATTTAGCAAGTACTCAAAGTTACAACGGCACTGGGAAGAGAGACCTATGACCGTTTTCTCACAGTTACGTCCTTTTCAGCATCTCCACAGCTACGCGATTTAAAATTAGGAGGCTTGGCAACTGGCATGTACTTATGACAGTTCTAATCCGTGATTGCCATTTGTGACCAAGCAAAGCCAAGGGGACCACGTTTTATTCAACAACGGCACATAGCTATCTTCTGATAAGCAATGGAGGAGACGGATTCGTCGAACGACCACATGATTCCTTTAACAATGGCAGAAATTCGCTTAACAACCAAAAAGGTTGTAAAATGGGACAAAACTCACGAAGCAAGGGAAATTTTGGGCTCCATCTTGGTCATAAGTTGAAGACTACCTGTACCTCAAGGACAGGCTTCCTCCCGTGACGCTCAACGACAACCCTCCCAATTCACAAACAGCACAGCGGTTGGCTTCTCGGCTGAGAACCATGGGACTTGGTGTCTCTGGTATGCAAAGAGTTATGGAAAGCTGATCGATCATGAGCAGGAGAGGAAAGTGGAAAAGCTAATAAGTAAACATACACACAAGATTAAAAAGAACCCAACACACAAGCCTGAGAGACGGTAGATTTGATTTTGCCGAAATGTCACTATAATAAAAGCACAAATATTAAGATGTGGGAAAATACCCGAAGAAACCTAAGTACCATACATATAAATACCCGCAAAAAGGTAAAACACACACACACACACACACACACTGCCTCATCTCTCTGTAGGGCTGATACATACTCCATGCAGGCTGTGGAACATGGGCCAAGGGATGGTCTTGGTCGCCTCTTGGGTGTTCCATCTCTCTGTATATCTCTTAAGAGCTAAAGACGGAGTGGATCCTTCTCTAGTTAGACCTCTGCACTGTCCTTCTCTCATCCCACTCCTCACAGGTGATCCTTGACTTATGACCACAATGGGAACCAGATTTTCCATTCTTAAGCAAGGCAAGTTGTTAAGTGAGTCCCACCCATGCTTGGCAACGTTTTTTGACAAGGTAATCACAGCCGTTGTTAAGAGAAACGGTGCAGTCATTAAACAAATCCAGCCTCACCCAATGACTTTGCTTTGGGACCCAGCACCGAACAGAGGGTTGGACTGGATGACCTCTAGATCATGGTTATAAATCCCTAGAATTCGGTGATTCTCTTCCCGGAAGGCTTTTAAATGCAGAAGTTCAAAGACCTTACCTTGGATCCAGAGATAATAGCCCCCAAAAGGTGGATTAGCCGCAGCTGGAGGCATTCTGGGAGCTCTCGGTCCGTTTCGAAGCATTCTAGCAAGGTAGGAAAAAAATAAATCAATCAATTAAATAATTAAACACCCACCTCCAGCCACCTTGACTGAATGGTTCAAGTGAAATGCAGTATTTCTCAATGTTGGCTATTTTTAAGAGGGGAGGACCTCAACTCCCAGAATCCCCCAGGCCAGCGTGCTTTAAGAGGCGTGCTTTATGGCTGCACAGGGAATTCTGGGAATTGAAATCCACACACCTTAAAGTTGCCACGGTTCAGAAACAGAGCATTTACATTCATCCCGACTTACGTCCATAATGGGCAAGCTCCACAATGGTCATAAGTTGAGGACTAGCTGTACTTTACTTCTATTTCAAATTTGTTTTTGTTTACAATTCTGGTCAGTGACCGTAAGGAAAAATAAATCTTAAAATTCCCTAAATACAGGTACTCCTCGATTTATAACCACGATCGAGCCAAAAATTTATGTTGCTAAGCGAGACAGGTGTTAAGTGAGTTTTGCCCCATTTTATGACCTTTCTTGCTGCAGTTGTTAAGCAAATCGCAGCAGTCGTTAAGTCAGTCACACGGTTGCTAAGTGAATCTGGCTTCCCCGTTGACTTTGCTGGCCAGACGGACGCAAAAGGGGATGGAGCCACAGCCATCATAAGTATGAGTCAGTAGCCAAGCGTCTGAATTTTAATCCGGTGACCACTGGTGTCTGTGTGTGCGCGTGCGCTGCAACGGTCGTTAAGTGTGAAAAATGGTCATAAGTCTCTTTTTGCAGTAACTTTGAATGGTTGCTAAATGGATGGTGGTAACTTGAGGATTACCTGTATATATATATTAGCCGGTGTACACTAATTAACCAAGAAAGCTGGTTTGGAGGGGTTCACCCTGCCTAAGCTAAGAAGAAACCATGATTGTGAGTCTCTAGATGAGACATAGGGAAAAAATGCAGCGAAAGCGCATCTCTTCAAGGGGTTTTCAGTTAAGAAAAGTCCCTGAAATCCCTAGCAGGCAAATAATTAATATTAAAAGCACCAACGGTTTCTGGAAATCTGCTCCACCCTGCATTTGTGTGTTTGTGACTTTGTGTGTGTGTGTGTTTAATGAGGCGGGAAGAAATGCTGTTGGCTGGAAAGATTTCTTGCGTAGATAAATTCTGCTAACCTGTCCTGACTGCCTCGGTTTTGATGCAAATTTTAATTTTTACATTAAATTTTATAATTGAGTTTAAAATCTAATTTAAAAATGAATTTAAAATTTAAATTTAAGAGAATAAATTTAAAGCAACGAGAGAGGGAAAAAAAAATACACAGTTTTTCACACTTATGACCGCTGCAGCATCCCCTTGGCCATGTGATTGAAATTCATAAACTTTGCAACTGACTCACATTTATGACGGTTGCCGTTTCCCGGGGTCACGTGACCCTCTTTGGTGACCTTCTGACACAGCAAGACAAGGGGGAAAGACAGCTTCCCTTAATGACCGTGTGACTCACTTAACAACTGCAAGGATTCGCTTAACAACTGTGGCAAGAAAGGTTGTAAAATGGGACAAAACTCACTTAACAAATGTTTCACTTAGCAACAGAAAATCTGGCTCATAAATCAAGGACTAACTGTATATGCTTGCCTAACGAGAATATTACATATATTAATCAAATACAGTTATAAAACTTTCTTTTTTTGGGTTAAAGCCCCTTGGAGATCTGTTTTGTTTTCTTCTTCTCTTTGACAATAGATGCCTCACTGCTGCATTTTGCATTTTACTCATGTTTTCTTACTTAATAAAAAAGCAATTAATCCACGATTAATTTTAATTAATCATTAATTTTAATTAAATAATACTCCATTGATTTTAAATAATTGAAAAGAAGAAAACAGCAGATGTTTCTATAACAATTCTACATCGACTCGTTTTAACTACTAGAATATTACCTGTTTTCCTCATCTTCTTTGACAATCACCGTGTGCTTTGCTCTTCTTTTGGTGATTAATTAAAAAGCAATTAAAAATAGAAAGAAGGAAAAGGCAGCAAAGGGGATTTTTTTTTTTTGCAGGGTGGGGAAGAGAGAGAGAAATTTAGTGAGGCTGCCACATGTACCTTCAAAAAAGGAACTGAACTCCAAAGGCAACGCAGCTGGTGCGAACTTGTATTTGTTCTTCTCTTTCGCACTCACAATCTCCCTGGCAGGGAAACAACACAAAAGGGTGTGAGAGAGGTTGGAAGGAGGGAGGAGGAAAGGAAGGAAAAGGAGGGAGGGAGAAAGGACAAAAGAAGGAAGGAAGGAAAACTGACAGTGAGAGAGTGGGAGAGAGAGGAAGGAAGGGGAGAAGGGAAACATGAAAGGAAGGCAGGAAGAAAAGGGAGGGAAGAAAGAAAGAAAGGAGGGAGAGAGGGAGAAGAAAGAAAAGGGGAAAGAGGGGAGAGGAGAGAGGGAGGGAAGGAAGGAAGGAAGGAAGTCTGGATGTGTGAGATTTTTCAAGTTTTTATTCTCAATTCCAGCATCCCTCAATTTGAAGATGGGTGGACTTCAGCTCCCAGAATTCCCTAGGGAGCATGCCGGGTGGGGAATTCTGGGACTTGAAGGCCACCCATCTTCCCAAGGTTGAAAAACATCAATTTAGAGGAAATGTAAGAGTATCTGATAAACAACATATAGACTCATGATGAATAAATTGAATAAATAATAAATTGAAATAAACCCGTTAAATAACTATTAAATAAGGAAGGAGAGAGAAGGAAGGGAAACTGGGAAAGGAAAGAACTTGTACGACTGTCGGAACTTCGGATCTGAATTTCAAGTCTCTCTCTTTTTTTTTTAGGTAGGTCGTAATTTTGAAGGGTTGTTAAGCGAGCAGTCGTAAGTCGAGGATGACTAGTATAGAACTTTAGAGCCATGTCTGTCAACCTTGGCCACATGAAGATGGGTGGACTTCAAGTCCCAGAATTCCCTGGACAGCGGTAATCCTCTACTTACAACAGTTCGTTTAGTGACCATTTAAAGTTACAATGGCACTGAAAAAGAACGCCTTTTGTAGCATCCCCCGCGGCCCCGTGATCAAAATTTGGGCAATTGGCCTGTGCTGGTTAAACAGTATATAGTTAGTTTGGGAATGAGAGCTGTCCCCTTAAGGGAATGCCTCATGGGAAATGTAGTTAATGCCTCATGGGAGATGTAGTTCATGTCATGTGGTCGCATCTGTAATCCTGATTGGTCACTGAATTGACCTCTGGTTGGATTGGGGGGAGTTTTGGTCATTCTAACTTGGACCCCAGCAACGTGCTGGAGTCTTTCCTTTGCTGTATCATTATGGGATGAAGATAACTATCTTTTCACACTATGAAGACAACAATGCAAAGATTGGACATGAGATGAATCTCAGCATAACTGTGAGTTATACCTTGAGGATGCCTGATGTAACCCAATAAAGTAACTTTGTATGGAAGCCTTTGTAGTTTTTAACTACCTGTCTCTATATTCAGCCAGAAAATTAGAGAGACAAGATATGGCCACTGACTCATATTTATGATGGTTGCAATGTCCCGGAGTCACATGATCCCCTTTTGTCATCTTCTGACAATGGGGAAGCCAGAATCATTTAACGACCGTTACTAATTTAACAAATTAGAGAAAATTTGTTACCAATTTTCTAATGACTAATTTAACAATTGCAGTGATTCACTTAACAACTGGGGCAAGAAAGGTTGTAAAATGGAGCCAGTTAACAACTGCCTTGTTAGCGATGGAAATTTTGGACTCAATTTTGGTCAAACGTCCAGGACTACCTGCATCGCCAACCTCTGCGCCATATCACGGAAACCAGGGGTGAGATTCAATTTTTTAAACTACCGGTTCTGTGGGCGTGGCTGAGTGGGCGTGGCCATTTTTTGCACCACCACCCCACCTGTTTTTTGGGCCTTCTGGGCCTCAGAGGAGCCTCGGGGGGGGGGGAGTTTTTGCTCCCAGAAGGCTCCTCTGGGGGCTCAAGAAGGCAAAAAATGGAGGGGGGGGACTGAGCCCCTCAGCAAGGGGAATCCCGCCACAGCTGATTGTATGAATCAGCTGACTGTCGGGAGGGGAAAAAAAAGAAAGAAATACCTTAAGGGACCACGCGGGTGGGGCAAGCGAGCCGGTGGTGACCGGGCGACCAGGTCAGGGGCGTGGCCAGCCAGAACTTACTACCAGTCCAGCGACCCAAGCCAACCAGTACGCCCGATGCGGTGCGAACCAGCTGAATACCACCACCGATGGAAACCCAACCCACAAAATATGTGTGTGCCATGCAAATTATTGGCTTTTGCTTATCCCAGGCAGCCTTTGGCAACCTCAGCAGGAAGGGGAAACAACGGATTCTTTTATATGTTTATTTAAAGACTTTATACGAGTGTAATAGGAGCAGCCTTCGATTGCCTGCTGGCTTCCCCCATGACTCTCCTTGTAGGAAGGTGGCAGAGAACATTGGAATTATTTAGTTACTGTTGTTCAGTTGCTACTGTTGTGTCTGACATTTTGGGATCCAGGAGACCCCACTTTTATTATTAAAGTGATGATTGTCAATATTATTGAAATAATGATCAAGTTATTGCAGCTGATTGGGTTGGAGGACTGCAACACTGCCAAATTTCAATCCCTCTCAAAAAATCAGCGGTCTCAGATATTGGATGCATTCTGTAATTTGAGGTCTGTTGGTTCAAACATTGTTGCCCAACACGGCACTGTATTGCTCCACTGAAGATTACAAACAGACACAAAGAATTTAGTAATCTATATATATAAAAGCGAAATGCCCCTCATGCATCATCACAAAATCTACAGAACCGTAAAGCCTACAAACTTGAAATTTGGCACGTATGGCTTCTAGGTGCTCTTGGCTTCTAGGTGCTCGCTAAGAAATAATTTTTGAAATGACTATCAGAGCATTACTATTTCCTATATTATTCTTATTAACACGCTCTGATGCTAAGGATTTCTACTCCCCCTCCCCACCTGAAAAGAAATCTCTCCCAAATGCAAAACACAAGCAGGAAAGGAGTTTTAGTTTCAGTTTCACAGCAGCAAACAGCTTTAGTACAGAACATTGAGCTAAGCCACGCCCAGGCTCCTTGCTGTCTCCTTCTTGCTCACACAGCAAATACTGTTTCCAAACAGCCCTCCACTCTCTCACACACTGACAGGAAGCTAGCCAGATGAATACCGATGGATGCTGGTAGGCAGAGGCAGAATTTTCCCCCTTATTTTCCTCCCCCAAAACTAAGCCTGACCACATAGTTTCGTAGTGTTGAAAGGTGTCAAAATGCCTTTCTTCCGAGGATTCGATTTTCCCGCAAGGATACGGACAGCTGCTTGAAAGCTGGATCTTTTTTTATTTTTCAGGAAGGCGAGAGATAGCGAGAAGCCTGCGTTCCTGGGCTAGCTACCTTCATATGATAAGCCCCTGATTTTTATACTTTTTTTCTCCTTTTGTGTGTGGGTGCTTGTATTTGTATTTCTTAATGTTTCAAATCCTGTCAGGGGTTGTCTTTATTCCCGCCGGAGGGTAAACTCCGGGGGGTGCGGTAGGCGAACTTTGCGGGGTGGTTTGATTGGATTATCGGCTTCGTCCTAATCTTTTTTAGCTTAATGGTTTCTTATATTTGTTTTGTGGCAATCTCCTGTCTGTCTCCTTTGTAATATACACATATTTTTGTGTGTGTGTCTTTTGTCTGTTTGTTTTGCTGATTTGGCATGTCTTGTGTTTGTAAGGGTTTTCTTTTCTTGTTTCCCTAGTTTTCTTAATTATTTGGGCTTTTGTCTAAGGGGCTTCTTTAATACCTTTTATTTGATCCCTTTTCCTATGTAAGTTTGTTTTATGGCTGCCCTGATGTTCCCTTTGGGCTTTCCTGCTTGGGTGACACCACTGTCTTCGTGAAATCCCCTTTCCACAGTAGCAAAGCATGGGTATCAAGGTAGTAGGTAGATAGCCAACATCTTGAACTGCATTGGAGTCTGTCAGAGAATGTCTTTGCTTCACAAGGCCCACCAAGAAACAATCTACAAGGTCTGGCCAGATGTGGCCAAGCATCTCTTGGCACCTGCCTAAAAGCCACAGCTTCTCCCCAAACCGAGATGCAACCTTCCCACGGGGTGAGGATGGAGACCCACTCACCCACTCAGCTGTCTCCGCCAGGTCTGGTAGGGGTCGAAGAGACACTCGCAAAGGTGCAGGGCGTAGAGGGTGACATTCTCCAGCTGGCCCTGGTGGGGCCAGGCCTCTGTGTGGAAGCTGTTGAGCTGCCAGGGAATTAACCACCAATTAGCCACCATCAGCGTTTCTCTGGCCTTGGCCAAGTTCCCGAAAGAGTCTTATTTTAACCAGGGAGGTCAAAGGGCAGGAAAATGCAGGGTGAACCACAAGGATAACCAGGAGGTTTCGAAGGGAGGGGAGGGAAGGGAGGGAGGAAGGAGGGAGGGAGGGAGGGAGGGAGGGAGGAAAAAAGGAGGGAGAGAGGAAGAAAAGAGAGGGGAGATAAGTGCTAGGAAAAAGGAAAGAAAGAGAAAGGAAGGAAAGGAAAGGAAAGGGGAAGGGAGGGAAGGAAGGAAAGGGAAGGAGGGAGGGAAGGAAAGGAGGAAGAGTGAAGGGAAGGAAAGGGGGAGGGAAGGAAAGGTAGGGAGGTGGAAGGGAGGAAGAAGGAAGGACAGAGGGAAGGAACGAAGAGAGGCAAACTGACTGAGAGAGAGGGAGAAAGAGGGAGGAAGGGAAGGAAGGAAAAATGAAGGAAGGAAAGAAATGAAAAAGAGAGAGGGAGAGGAGAAAGGAGGAATCGAGGGAAGAAGGAAGGAGGGAAGGAGAAAGGGCGGGAGGGAAAGAAGGAAGGTGGTCTGGTGTGGGTGGATATGGGTTTTTAAGGTTTTTACTCTCGGTTCTAGGATCCCTGAATCTTGACAATTTGAAGATGGGTGGACTTCAGTTCCCAGAATCCCCTAGGGAGCATGCTTAGCTTTATCCTTGTGAGGTGGTCTCAAATTGACGTGGTTCCGCCCCACCCGGGATCCGAACTTGTGTCTCCTGTACGGGAAGCCTCCCTCCTAACCCTGGTTAGGAGGCTCAGAAGTTCATGGTTACCTTTTTCGAACAGGTGGACAGCAGAACGATCAGATCGTGGACAAACAGGGGTGGACGGTCAGCCTGGACGTTTTCGAGATTCCTGCGAAGAAACCAAAGAAGCAGCCTTGAGAAATGGAAAAAATTATCTGGCATCGGAGGCCCTTTAAGGCAAAACAAGCGGCAACGTTATGCCAAAACATAATATATATTTTTAAATCATTGGTAATTAATATTAGTAATTATAGCAAAGTAGTAATCGCATCCTTCAGGTTGCTTTAGGTTCAGTTTCTCCTTTGGGAGAAGTTATGCAGGGAGTCCTTGATTTATGACCAAAATTCAGCTCCAAATAATGTCCATGTCCATAATGTTCATGACCACAATAAATTGAAATAAATCTAATCGGTAAAATAGGGTATCCTCTACTTATGCCCACAGTTGAGCCCCAAATTTCTGTTGCTAAGTTAGAGAGTTGTTTAAATTGGGGACCCCTGCTTTAAGAGGGGAGGACTCCAACTCCCAGAATCCCTAGTCAGCATGATTTAAGGAGTGGACTCCAACTCCCAGAATCCCCCAGCCAGGATGCTTTAAGAGGGAAGGACTCCAACTCCCAGAATCCCCCAGCCGGCATGCTTTAAGAGGGAAAGACTCCAATTCCCAGAATCCCCCAGCCAGGATGCTTTAAGAGGGGAGGACTCCAACTCCCAGAATCCCCCAGCCAGGATGCTTTAAGAGGGGAGAACTCCAACTCCCAGAATCCCCCAGCCGGCATGCTTTAAGGGGGGTGGGCTTCTCTTCTCCCCACCTCTCAGTTCTGCTCCCTCCCTGTCCTCCATCTTGGGTGCCTGTGCGAAAGCTCCTTGGGTGCTTATCTTGAGCTTACCAACCGCAGCACCCACAGGAAGACGGGTAGCACTAGGCGCTGTCTGCCCCCCGCCCCCCCGCCTTCCTGTCAGATTAAAAATAAAACAGAGCTTGGCAAATGGGCCTTCAGATCAGCCAGGCCATCCTCCCCCTTGCCAGCTCTGTTTGGGGACGATGGGAGCGGTAGTCCCCTACCGTTGGGCTAGCGTAGCTCTGCTCTGCGTCAGAATGGAGGGTGTGGGGACAATTTATTTCTATTCATTTTCTGTTTTTTTTTTTTAATTTCTATACCACTTCATTCTTTTTACAAATAAAGCCGTGAATGTATCTGACACAGTTTCCTCCTGCTGTTTTTCCCCAATAAAAACAACCCTGTGAGGTGGGTTGGGCTGAGAGAGAGAAGGAGAAGGACTGGCCCAAAAGTCACCCAGCTGGCTTTCCTGGCTAAGGTGGCACTAGAACTCACCGTCGCCTAGTGATTGGCCCAAGGTCCCCTGGATGGCTTTTGTGCCTAAGGGAGAACTAGAACTCATCGTCTCCTGGTGATGGGAATTCACTTAACGGCCACAGTAAAAAGCGATGTAAATTTAGGGTGACTCGCTTAATGACCACCTCACTTAGTGATGGACGTTTTGCTCCCAATTGTGGTCATAGGTTGAGGACTACCCGTCTATCCTAAACCCTGGGACTGAAATCAAACAAATTTGTGGCAGGCATTATTTGGCACTTTTTTCTGATTGTTCCCTGTGGCTAATCCCTGGATTAATTTTCTTCCTTCCCCATAGATATTATACCTGTGTAATATCTAATATATATATTATATATATACTGTAATATATTGTATTATTTTATATATATATATAAAACTTAGCAGTAAAATAGCTTGCCAGGAAACAAAGCAATGTTTAATCTGTTTGTGAAATTCGTAATGTAAACGAAGCAAGAACACAAGGAAATTGCGTCTTTGAAAACTGGCAATGATAAGCGGTGCTTTGCTGATGTCTATTTTGCTTTAGTTTAGTTTTGTTTTTAAACGTGCAGCTTTCAAAACTTAAACAAACCAGGCTGCCTATTTTTAATCTGCGACCTTTAGAAAAGAAAACCAAATCGGTTTTCAATATTTTCATGGGCAACTTTTAGAGTGAAAAACAAACCAGCTTCCTATTTTTAAGGTAAAACTTGAGAAGAAACCAAACTAGCTTCATATTTTTTTAACGTCCAATTTTTAGACTGGAAACCAAACCAGCTTCCTATTTTTAAAGTTTCACCTTTCAGAGAGTAAAAACAAACCAGCTTCCTCTGTTTAAAGTGCAACGTTTAGAACCTAACCAGCTTTCTGTTTTTAAGGTGCAGCCTTCAGACTAAAACTCAAACTGGGTTCCTGAAGTTTTTTTTTTTTTTTTTTTAAGTCCAGCCACTTTTTTTGCTCTGGTTCAAACAAACGTAAGAGAAAAGGAAAAAAAAAAGTTTTAGAGGTTTCAAAGCTCCCATTGGGTGAAGTTTTTCGAGCTATTCCATCCAAGGGCCCAACTTCTAGCTTCTACTGCTTATTTTTTTAATGCCAAAGTAAGTTTGTGTTGCTGATTTTTTAAAGGTCACAGAAACACGTGCAGAACAGGTAGTCCTCGACTTACAACCATTCATTTAGTGATGAAGTTTACAATGCCACTGAACAAAGTGACTTACGACCCTTTTAGGACCACTGCAGAGTCCTCGTGTTCACATGATCAAAATTCAGACGCTTGGCAACTGGCATGTACATATGACTGTTGCAGTGTCCTGGGATCATGTGATCACCTTTTCCAATCTTCAGACAAGCAGTCAATGGGGGAAATGCCAGATTCACTTAATGACCGCACGATTCATTTAACAACTTCAGTGATTCTGTGGTGGATTTACTCATCTAACTGGCCAACCGATTTTCAGTGTGACAAATTGTTCAGTTCTCAGTTTGTTCAATTTAGAATTCAGATTGTTCAGTACAGTACAGTCACAATTGAACCCAAAATTTATGTCGTTAAGTGAGACATTTGCTAAGTGAGTTTTGCCCCATTTTATGACCTTTCTTGCTACAGTTGTTAAGTGAATCGCTGCAGTTAACCCGTTAAGTTGTTAAGCGAATCTGGCTTCCCCACTGATTTTGCATGTCGCAAAAGGGGATCAGGTGACACCCCCGGGACGTAGCAACGGTCATAAGTATGAATCAGTTGTCAAGCGGCTGAATTTTGATCACATAATCGTCACGATGCTATAAAGATTGTAACTGTGAAAAATGGACATAGGTCATTTTTTTTCCAGTGATGTTATAACTTTGAACGGTCAGTAAATGAACTGTTGTAAGTCGAGGGCTGCCTATACTTCAGTTTCTGGTTCCTCTCCAATTTCTACAGAAATGCCAACCTCGTGCCAGGCTCTGCACAAAAAGGCAACTGAAATCTATATAATGATTGTTATAATTAAAATAATCCCGAAAGAACTAGAATGCCATTTGAAAACCGTCAGCTGTGGCCAAATCCCCACTGGTCAATTGCAAAAGGCAGCTTGATGGACCAGCTAACGTCCAGTGACAATACAGTCCTCAGCTTACGGCCACAATGGAGCCCAGGATTGATGTTCTTAAGTGAGAAATTCATGAAGCGAGCTTCATCCCATTTTTATGACTTTTCTTGCCACATTCCTTAAGTGAATCACTGCAGTTGTTAAATCAGTCACACGGTCATTAAGCAAATCTGGCTTCCCTCCTGACTGGTCAGAAGGTCACAAAAGGGGATGACGTGACCTTGGGACATGGGAACCATCATAAATAAGAGCCAGCGGTCAATTCCGACCACGTGAGATTGCTGCAACGGTCATAAGCATGAAAAACGGTGATAAGTCCTCTTTGCTGGTACTGGTGTAACTGAACAGTCACTAAATGAACGGTCATAAACCGAGGACTCCCTGTCAGGCTAAGAAAAGAGTGGTTTTATGTTACATTTAAACAGTCACAAAACAAACTGTTGTAAATCAAGGACGAACTATAGCAATAAAACCATAACATAACATTAAAAATAAATGATACACCTCACATTTACTAAAAATTGCAAGCTTTCCTTGCAGCAAAGAAGTGTGAGGAAGTGTGCAAAAATGCAAAGGTCCAGAGACCAGCCCTCTTCTCCCCGCAAACCCCCCAAACCTTACCCATTTCTGCGACAAACCCTTCCCCACAAAAAATAACCAGCCTTCAGCAGATGGCAAAACCCAGTTCAGTTTCATCTCCCAGAGATTGACCGAAGTTCACACCCAGTGAAGTCGCTTAATTGCCATTTTTCATCTGTCCTCTGAAAAAGTATGTTTGATTAGGCTTTATCCAACCTGGCCATCTGGAGACACACCTGGGGCATTGTTTGCACACTCACTGTCCAGCTGCTGTGGTTTTTTTGAGCGGCTGGAAAGTCACACCTCCCTGTGGTTGGTCAACCATGCTTACTTTTTTAGACAGGGAAAAAATGTTCAATACCACTGTGGTCAAAAGCAACATTCCCCCCCCACCCCACCCCCCATGTGCTAAAAAAGGTCTGTAGGAACAAATTGAGCAAGGATGCAAATTGCACATTCCTGTTTCCTGTGGAAATGTGAAATTTCTGCTATCGTCCACACCCAGAAGGTCAGTAGTTCTTCTTCTTCCAAACTTTGTAGCTTCAGAGTTGTGGAAGAATTGGAAAGGCTTCAGGAGAAAAAAAAAACCAACTTCCAGATTTCCAAAGGAAGGGAAAACTTCCAACCCACCCCCAACTCCCCATGGATATAGATCTTTAGGGTGCAGGGGAACCTTCTGCTCCCCAAAAACCGAGAGCTTGAAAGCAGCTTTTAGGCACACGGGCTGAGGAATTAAGGCCCCCAGACAGGATCTTTGGCCAAACAGGAAGGAGATCCACTTCTCCTTGTATGTTGAGTCTTCAAGATTTTGGGGGATAAAGGAAGGACCGAGGGGAGGGGGTATTTCAAAGAGCTTAAGGATACAAACGCTTAAGAGGGGATGCAGGGTGGGTTTCTATGGAATAGCAGAAGGACATCCTGTTTGGCCCAAGGTTGAAGGCATCTAAGGGGGATTCCTTGAGGGCCGCCTCTCTTGACTTGGCTTCTCTGTAGGATTCCTCAGGAAGGAATTTCGGGGCCTGGGGAATGACATTGTGGAATTAAGGGCAGACTTTGTGGTTTTTGGGGTGGTGGGAAGGCAACATTTCAAGGTGATCCTCC